ATATTGCCTAATGCATCTAACAAAGCAATATACCATATAAATGTTCTGGTCCAGATTAGCGACCAATAATTAAACAATAATTTCTAGAATTCAGTAAACATACTAAATTTTCTTTCTCACACTAAGACGAGCAAGAATGATATTAGTGAGCTGCTTCTTGCTTGGACTGGAATGACACTAGCATCTATCATTTACAAAATCTGTCTGTTTATATGCGCACCATTTTTATTTTATATTGTAAGTGTGTATTTCTTTTAAGATACTTAATTGATTTAAAAGGAGAAGTGAGAAGAGGAATAGGACTTCTTTCGAAATTTTCAAACGACTTAAAATTTTAATATGTCCACATATGAGTTTATAGACATAGAAACTTAGGATGAAATTGCAAAGTCATTGGCCTTGTAAGACATGATACCACAATTGAAACTCTTGTATTTTAGAAATTATGTATTATGGTTCACTCTTGTTTGGTAATAAAATTACAATTGAGCGACACATTTTTAATATAGCAATCTTCATATGTTAAAAACAAAGATATATAATCTCACAAGGACTACATAACCTACCTAAGATAAAGATAAAATACATTCATAGTGAAACAAGAAATATGTCTCTCTCTATTTGAATCCTATAAAGATATTGGATTCCATTGGACATAATACCAGATTAGTAACTAAGTACTCTAAAATCTGCATGAGTGGTAATTGAATGACTAACGCTTACTATAACGCTTACGAATTTGAAATTGAAAATATATCCGAGTACTGCGGACAAAGAAGTTAAGAGTGACGCATCACTTGGATAATACGAAACCATAATAAACCGCACTTCTCTATGTGAAGCAGATTTACTTATAGTCATATCTGCTTAATATAAGATTGATTAACAAGTTCACTTGAAATTGTACTCCACTAAAGGAAAAATAACAGATAGTTGTTATTTTGTTATGTCCTTACCAACATATTTAAAACATTGTATGCACTGCCTATTGATTAAATTTAAAATTTTTTTCCAAAATATGATGAAATAATATAAAGAAATATAAAATACATTTAAAATAAAATGTTCATCAATACATTTTTAAACATAAATATATAAATGTGAATACATTAGTATATAAATACACTTATTGATATATACGTATATATATATATATATTTATAAATTCCTTTGTGATCCTTGTATTATTTGCTGTATTTGAAAATGACAATTTCTTTGATTTCAACAGCAAGATTAATTGAAATAAATACCCGCAGCTCTGCGCCATCGGGAATTATGAAAATTTTCCGCTTCATGCTGAAATACATTCAGCATTACTTATGATTCAATATAAAAATGTGGAAAATTTTGCAATATTATAAAATTCCATATTTTAAAAAAGTTTTATGAATTCAGAAAGGTGCACCGTAAAATTTTGCTTTTGTCACATACGATAACTTTGTCATATTTTTCTTAAAGTTTTATATTCAATATTAAATGCATAAATATACTAATATGACCATCCATGAATTGAATAGTTTTGAGGATATTTTTTAATATATGAAAAAGTACTCAATGCCGCTTACAAGAGTAATGAAGTAACATATAAACAATATTATTCAAAATTATAATAATTATGCAGTAAGTACCTTTACTAAGAACAATGACAAGAATTAAAATAAGCAAGAACCATAGTGTCAACTAACAGCACCAAATCAAAGAAAAAAAAAGTGAAAAAACAAAAGGTTACAGAATAATATTAAGAAATTATTGTACGAAAAAAAGTTATAAACATCTTAAATGTTAAATTAAAATAATAATGTTAAATAATTAATTATAGTTATTACTTAATAATATCAATAAAATTTTGTATTAATAATTAATTACATCAATAAAATTTTATTCAATTTATATAAATTATATATAAATAATATAATTTCTTTCTTAATTGTTTAATTTAAATTATATATCAACGAACAAAAAATTCGGAAGAAAACATTTTATATTATTTAATGTAAATATATATAAAAAATATATAAATGTATCAATAAAAATAAAAGCTATTATTTTATAAAACAACCTCAGATATATACTAAGACAATAAAAAGGCAAAAAGAAAACAATCATCAAAAACAACATTAAAATAAACAATTTAAAGCATTGTTTTCTTTTATAATTTGTAAGCAAATTTATAATTTTACTTGCAATAAAGCAGGGATATTATAAATGTCCTCATTTCCTTCTGAAATAAACGGCACTGCCAAACCAAAATGTTTGGCGATGATTTATATGAGGTTATAAATTTTATGAATCAGAAGAAGCAGTAAAAATGGCAGGAAATTACTAAACAGAAAAAATAGGTATTGCGGAAAATTCTTATACAAATGAAAACAGAAATTCAGAAATTCAGAAAGCCTAAAACACTCGAAAGACTCAAAAAACAACTACAACTTACAGGAATGATTAAAGCTAAAATGCTCATTTCAGGACATAAATATTTCAAGACTAAAGGCTTTAGCGTGCTTCCGTGTTGAAACAAAAAGTAGATTCGTATCAGAGCGAATAGTATGTTTTCATATATCTGTGTACTACATAAAATACTAAAAATTCATACTCAAACTGTGGGAAACAAATAAAATTCTCAACTAGAAAATTGTTCAAATATTTCATAAATGCCAAGCTTACACGGGCGCAGGTAATACTCACAGCAAGTCATGTCAACAAATGCGGAGCAGCGCACCTGGTTCATGTCTTCCAAAAAAGACTCCTTTGCGTTATTAAAATTTTTATCTTTTGTTTTGCAAACTGAGAAACCAAAAAGTTTTTGAATAGCAAAATATTTGCTTTGACAATAGAAAATAAACTTTAAATTATTTTAGTTAAAGTTTAGTCGAGTATTTTTGTTACTGTCAACTTAAATAATGTTGCAGCCTTTTATGCAAAAGATATGATTTATTTACTTTAAAATGTGTAATTTAATAACACAAAATATTTCATAGAAATTTATTGTTTCCCTACAAATTTCTAACTAAGCAAAGCACTTGAACTATCAAAGTAAAGTAATTTTAATTTATATTTATTAGGTAATATGAAAAGTATCTCACGATTTTTGTCACTAGATGGTCTTGGGATCCAAATATCTGAGAAACCTAATCCAATTATGCCAATAGAACATATATTTAAAATGTGATATTCCAGCTTATATGTTTTTTCCATTTGTTCAGGTCTCTCCAAAATGTTCTTAATGGTAAAAATTTAAACGGCCGAAAAGCCGCTTAAAATCACTTGGTCAAATTTTGTGCCAATAAACCAAAGAACTTCTACACCGATGGAGTTATGAAGCTACCCTAAAATGGCTAGAGGTCAAAAATAATAATGGTCTATATATACATGATTTCAATTGGTTTCCAATAAACAAAATAATTTTTCACAAATGTACTAAAAAGCGGTAAATACTTTTTATGTGACCCAATATTTATTTGAAATGAGTTAAAAACTAATTAATAAAGTCAATAACTTTTATAATAACTGATTTAATATTCTTTTCAAAATTTGATCAAGCATCTGACTAAGATATTTTAAATTTCAATATCTTAAGCAATCTAATTTTATCTCATTAGATAAGGTATGCTAGTTAGTTGGGCTTTTAAGCGAAATAAATATAAAAGATGGTATATTCAGGTCTCCTGTTCATACTCAATATTGGTATTATATTTGTAATATTGAAAGAGAAATATGTAGTAAATGAAACAACATATCAGATCCGAAACATATAAATATATAAATATAGTTATACATAAAATTTCGTAAATATTTGGATACTTCGGGAATACACTTGAATATAGTATTTCTTAAAATTTCTTGTCCAAAAAATAATTCCAAAAACAATAATAATAAAGTAAATTGGGTTGGTGAACTCTGTTTGTTTAAACTCTTGTGGAAGGATTTCAAATATTACTTAAACTAATTAAAAGTAAAATATTTTGTTTTCTAAATCAATCAAACATTCGAGCTCAACGACTCTATTGAAAATATCTAAACTCCATATTGTGTTTTCCGTCATAGAACATTTACTATTACACGTTTTGTAAAAACCGAAATAGTAAAAAAATGAAACATTGAGTAGATGTCCAAGTACCTCAAATATCATCCATTTAATTCATATCGATAAGAAAGTGAAAACCGCACTCTTAAGCACTGTTTTCATCAGAATAAAACGTGAAATTATTTAAAATCGAAGAAACCTTAGTTGATTAAAGTTATTCTAACAGATGAAACCTCCTCTATTCGACTGAAAGACACTTCAATGCTTCAACAATCAAAAAAGTTGTGGTTGCCATGATTGTTTAGTTGGTTAGCTACAGTAGCTAATCGACAGATAGTGTTTAGCTGCATATAGCAATTAATTATTTGTCATTTTAATAACATATTTTTTTTAAGAAATTCATATATTCAAACTATATCAATTCAGTTGAGTTAGTGTAGTTAGCAGATCTTTAATTTTTACAAATGACCAGTCCAAAGCTATGCAGTAACAGACCGGTCCAAAGCTATCCTTCAACTTGCCGCAACTTTTACAATTTGTGGTGCGAAACTAATATTTTAAAACATTTATCTGGTCTGATCTTCTCCTAGCTAAAGCAGTGTACTGACACATTAAATGGAGCACGATCCTCATCTTCAGAGCTATATCCTCGACAAAAGTCATTGTAGGGGAGACCCAGTCTCATAGCATACCTTCCTATTTCGCAGTGGCCCGTCAGCACAGATCAGCCGTAGTGGCTATGTAATTAACTAAAGAATTGAAATCAGAGTATAGTTGTTATAATTCTATGAATAAGCTTAGATTAAAATATCTAATGTCTTGAAAGATGTAGTTTGTTAAATGTAGTACGCTTTGGAAATTTGAAAATTTGTTCCCTAAATTAAAACAAAGTCTAGGCTTATATATTTTTTTTCATTCAGATAACTAACAAAATTTTTCAATAAAATGAAAATTGATATTCAACGATTAAAAATTATGTAGAAAAAATTTAACTAAATAAAAAATAAATTTTCGATAACTAAACCTCAGATTCCAAATTAAATATATGGCTTATTTAGATAACTATGTAGATGATTTTTATATCCCGGTGAGTTGTCGATCGAAAAACTAACTATCAATTAATCCGTTTTTTTTTTACACAGAACTCTCCACCAAAAAGCATATCAGAAGATGAAGAAACTGCAAATGTAGCTGACCAGCAGTTTACAAGCCATGCTGTAGATTTTGATCCAACTCTCTTAAGCAATTATAATCCAAATGTTACTTCGGTTAGCTCATCAGACTTAATTAACTATTAAGTAGTTAATTATGTATTTACTCAATTTTTTAATTAATAATTCTTTCTTATTATATAAAGCACTCTACAGAAAATAGCATTTCGGAATATCGTGAACAGATGAATACTACCCTTACAGAGCTTACAAAACCTGACATTGCCAATAGCCCAACATCGCTTGAGATCAATGATTTATTGCAAAAGTACTCAAGTCCAAAGGAAGAATTTTTTGGTATATTCGAACCGCGTTTAAAAGTAAGTTTGATGTTCTTTATTTATCTATCATTAAGTGAAATGTTTTATATTGATTAAGAACTTAAATTTATATACTTGATTGACATTCATAACATTTAGGCAGTAGACGTTGACAAGTTAATGTCAAGCTACGGTAATCCTTCGAACTTGCCAACACCTAAAGAAAACTTAAAAAAATATCCCGAGATACCGAGAAAAAAAGAAAATACTGTAACATATGAAAAATTATGTGCATATATCAACCAACATGTTCATACCACTACGGACGGCCGTGGTACTAAACATGCATATCACTCCTTGAAAAATAAGCCAAATGTAGTCAACTCTATCAATTATGCAAAAGGAGTTCGACATCGTAACAATATTCCACCTCAAACAAATACTTTAAGCTATAACAATGCAGTTCCAACAAGGAAAGAATCCAAACACATGTATGGAGAATTAAGAGCAAACATTCATGAACGTGATGTTGGAGGAAAGGAGCATGAAAATAGAAATTCGTACAATTCATTAAAAAATAGACCAGTTGATACAAAATGTTTCACTTATGCAAAACAGGCAATATATCTAACAACATTTGATAACAACACTCCATCTCAATCTAATATGTTCAACTATAACAGTACAGTTCCGACCAGGAAAGAATCTAAACATATGTTTGGAAAATTCGGTCCAAATTTCAATCAACATGATGTTGAAGGAAACGAGCGTATTGATACAAATTCTTTCAATTACCCGAAAAAAATAGAACAGCATAACAACACTCCATCTCAATCGAATATGTTTAACTATAACAACACAAATCTGAGCAGGAAAGAATCTAAAGATATCTACGAAAAATTTGGTGCCTGTATTAATGAACTCAATTTTATACAAAAAACACGAGATACTACAAATTCTTTTCATTACCCTAAAAAACTGGAAAAATATAACAACAATCCACCTAAATTTAATATGTCTAAATGTAATAACAAAATTCTGAATAGAAAAGAATCTAACGATATTTACGAAAAATTTGGTGCCTGTATTAATGAACTCAATTTAAAACAAAACGCACGAGATACTACAAATTCTTTCCATTACCCAAAAAAATTCGAAAACTATAACTCTCCACCTAAATTTAATATGTTTGACCATGGGAATGTGAAACCGATCAAGAAAGAATATAAAGATACATATAGCAATGAACTTAATTATAAAGGAAATGAGTGCGATTCTACGAATTTTCACAACTCCTTCAATAACGGATATGACATAAAGAATCCGTTTAAACGTCATAAAGAACAAGAACAACTAACGAACGATCCATCAAGATTTGATGCTCTCGATTGCAATAATGCTAATCCAATGAAAAAAGAATCTGGAGATAAATATCAAGAGTTAAATGTCTTCACGAATCAACATAATAATGAAGGCAAAAATAACCTAAATACTACTTCAACCATTTCTTTGAGAAATATGAGGTTTATAAAAAATTCCTTCAAATATTTAAAACAATTTGAAGAGCAAAACAGCAATCTTTTTAAATCTCATACTCCGGATTACACTGATAGAGATATGAAGAACGAAGAACCTACGAAAATATACGATCAATTATGTACTTATAGTAATGAACGTATTGTTGGTGGAAAAGAACCGCATATTTCGATGTTGCATAACTCAAGAAATGATTGTCTCTACAATTATCTGAAAAAAATAGAGCAACTAAGCTATCAGGCAGTCAGCTTTGAAATGTTGGATTACTGTAGACGTTTTGTTGCGCCAAATATTTATGATCGTTTATTGATTAAATACAATCTGATGAAAATTTTTTCCAGGCATAGTTTAAAAAATTAGTTATGAAAGCATTAATCTAATGTTAGCCAATTTGAAAATTAAAAATATATCCTAAGTAACAACACTCCGAAAATATTACTATATGTTCAAATCATTAAATAAATCACTATTGTCATAATATATTATGTATATTGTCTTTATTCAAATTCCAATATATTTGCAGTTAAGAGAGTTAATAATGATTTTATAATAATTTAATAATGACAATAAAATAACTATAATATTACACATGATACTAAATCTATTTATCCAAACAAAATTGATCAAATAACTATTTGGAATTGGAATTAGCTCAAATCAAAATATATGAGAATATATTCGCTAAGCTAAGTTATCTATAAGTTTTGGCAAATAAAAAATAAAAGAAGCAAATGCACACATCTTGGTACTATTATTATTAAATATTAGATACGAGTATATAAAAGTATTAGGTTGCGAATGTTAGTGAAATACGGAAATAGTTTGAAACATTTAATGAAAGCTGAAATGAATGAATGCTTTACTAACGTAAAAATATTTTAGCAAGAGCATAAAAACCTTGAGAATCCATCAAGGCAGGAAAGCAATTAAATGTGATGGGCTTAACTCACATAAGCCTATGAGAACACCTCGGTATTTATTCGCTTGCATACTGAGTACAATAGGCATACATACTCGTGCATGCAAATAAGCCAGCATACGGGCATGTAGCATATGAACATTCGCCTGGAGAGTTCACTTCACAGGTATAATGAAACTAAAAAAAAAGATTTGAAAAATAAAAATAAAACCTGACTGACTGACAATAGTCAGTGTTTCTGTATCCTTGTTTACAAAAAGTCAGCAAAACAAATGCGGTTTTGTTACATGACTTGGAATATTTTTTTATTTTCCATTGAAACAATACAAAGAGCACACCACGTTAAAGCCTAAGAAAACAAGTATCTCATACACAACCCCTTCCATGCTTATTGTTTACTTGAATCGTCATGGAAATCAAAGAAAACTTTAACTTTTGTTGGCAACATTGTTGCGAAACTATTTCATAGCAACATTAGAGATTGTGTGAATGTTGTATATACAACCAGAAAGTGGTTTCATTTGCTGTTGGAATCTCTGCAAATTCTACAACAGAAACTGAATCAAAAGTTGGATTTTAATAAAAGTCAAAACTAATCTTTGTTGAAAAAGTTTCTATTATTGGTTTTCCTTTTATTATTTATTCAGGGCCACTTCCGTTGCTTGTATTTTGGCACAAAAGCGTCCCAATAAAGAATATCGAGTTTCTTAAGGTTATTTCTCTAAATCAATAAGATAAACATTTTGTATGTTACTAAAATTAATGATTTTGAGTCACCAAATAAAGGCATATACTATTAGAATAACTCTTAACAGAATAGACATTTATCTACAATATTCTGTAACGGATACAAATCCAAAAAACAAACACAAAATAAAACTTATCTGGGCGGATATACGCTGTTTGCATAAAACGCCTTCGGTCCGAAACAATTGTAGGTTCCTTTTGAGACGACAATTACTATGAAATGTCACGTTTATATTAAGAGCAATACGGACATAAACCTTTTAACGTTATTGATAACTCTGATATTTGACTAAAAACAGCGAAAAAATATGATAAGCAAAGATATTTTTAATTGCAACGACACAAGATACGTTTATACAAATAAGTACTATATACAAATATAAAATTTTTAGCTATGATTTGGGAAGAAAATTAACTATTTAACAAAATACATTTTAGTTATTAAGTTAATTGATTAGTTTATTGAAAGAATGAAAAATAATCAAAAATTTTGGTTTTTCAACAAAATTATATTGTGTGGAAATAAACTCTTCACAGAAGCAAGCGATCCTAAATCTGATATATCGTACATCCCTTTTTTATAATCAAAGCTAGTCATATAGTGACAAACTCAACTGCTAACAAAACTTAATCAGTATCCAATTTCATTGGCTTGAGTCCTAGCGCATCTCATTTATATCCACATTCTACAATCGTTCGGAGTCCTTCTTAGGTAGAACTACTATTGAGGATGTAAACCTTAAAATGGTGTAGGTTGATCACTAGCTAATATATACCTATTTCGAAAACTTACGCAATATTTTATTATACCAATAACAATTATAAGTTGTGACAAAAACAAAAACGAAATAGTCGAAAATCTTTTTCAAAAAAACTTCTTTTTCCAATTAAAGTTCAATAACCCAACAATTTTTCTATGCGAAATTCTCTTCGAAAATGAAAAAAAAATATCGTTTCATATCAAATGTGCAAATACAAATTCGAAATTAATTATATATCATCAGTTTCTTAATGGAACACGGCCTATGCTAAGCTTTGTGCGACCTCTTCTACTAAACATGCTCGACGAGAACTTAGCCTAATACAAAGCCGCTGATCAAAATTTCTACAGTTTTATTAACTCTCTTGACTAGATTTAAATCTATAATCTTTCAAATTAAAATCGCAGCATTAGTAAAATTCATGATCTCATGATCTTGAGAATTATTAATTACAAGTGTTGAGATGGTGATGATAAATTCTTTAATTTTTTTATCCTAGTAGTAGCAAATTTAAGTCTAACTTTCTTTAAATTAATATCCGATGATTAGTATGGGTGTCGGGTCACATTGGTAACGAAATTATAGTCAAACTTGCCAGGAAAGAAAACTTATGGAGCTGGACCACGTAGCTTGTAGGCTCAGAAGCGTTCTGTGGTTTAAGCTAGAAACCTTTTTTCCCCCATTTATAAAAAATAAGAGGAACGAAGAAAACTACACTGGGATCATCTGACAAAGCGATCATAATTGAAATCGCTTATGGATATTTTCAACCTAGAACGAATTAAAAACTATAAAGTCTAAGTAAGAAAAATTATTATTATTAGAATACTTTAAGAATTATTGAAGGATCATTACCTACAGCACACTATAAATTACTCTTCCACTTAATAAAATAATAAAACAGGGAACTTACTCTTATGGACTTGAGACCTCAACTCACACGGTGGAAATATTTCTGGCACTGACAGATAAATGAAAGAAGTGCCTAGAAGTGAAAATTGGATTTGGAAAAATACTCCAAGTTCATGAAGGGTGCATAATAGACGTCATATCCTAAACATAATAATTAGCAGTATTCTTAATCTGGAATAACCAGCTGTGATCTAGAACACACTAAATTGAATACTATTTTATTTATTTTAATTTTACCACTTTGTACTGTCACTACGTTATCAGGTTACCGAGATCTTTGCTCTATTTCACGAATATCACTATTGTTTTTTCTCACATGTAAATCTGTGATAAGAATTTCTCGAGCTCTGCAGTTAAGTAAAAAATTCATAAACAATTAAATATTACAGCTATGTAACATAATAAATATTCTTTTAACAAAATGCAGTGCAAAAGATTCAATATATTCCAAAAAACTCTAAAGGATTTTTTGATTCGTTATGATGAAAACTTGGAGTACCACATATAACTAAATTGAATAGATATAAATTAGTTCAAAAATGTTTCTTCTTTAGATGCATTTAAATTAAATAACCATACTTAAAATAAATTTAATCCTCAGTTGGTTGACCATTTAATCAACTGACGTCATGTAACCTTTCATCTTAATCCTTGTACAAAATATTATTAAAAGGTGTCTACCATGTTAACTTTTTTGTTGAAGTGTTATCCTTTAGCAGCATTAGTAAAAAACAGAGGAATCCAAAAAGGGTATTACATATATCAATGACAACAATTTAGCATTACAAATATACGAATTCCAAAATAGCAACCGTTCGAAAAAAATCTCTGCAAATGTTGGCAATGAAATGCTTGGAATTTTGTTATCTATTTCTGTAGAACTACCAGGAAAAATATCAAGAGGTAAGGCAACGAAAAAAACCTATCCCATTCTAATCCAGTAAATTGTATAAAAACACAATCAACAAAGCATAAAAATGATATGCTAATAAAAAAATAAGGAAGAAGAATAAAAATAAAAATAAAAATACCTGAAATCGCAGACATAACAGAAGTATTTGAACCTTAAATGTAGGTGGATGAGAAGATCCGTGTTGTGAAAGTGAAGCTTTTATTTGGAAAATATTTACACAAGCCAGCAAAGTAAAGCAATAAATTTATTTGACATTTTGCGATACAAATTGTAATAAATTATGTGAGTTGTTGGTTTTACGAGTATTATTCGAAGCTATTAGAATCGCAACTGAAATATTTATTAGCAATCATTACCAGAAGAAGAAGAATGAAATTGGTACCAATTCGTTTACGAGCTCCAATAAGCTCCAATAACCTGGCAAAGGAATTATATATGCACACGTAGTTACTTTATGAGATATCAATTTAATTTAACACAAATCAATTTTTGTTTGTCATAAAAATCAGTTATGTACACTTTTCACTCTATTAACATCCATTCTGATATCAAAGGAAGCCACAAACGTAATTTAAACATTTTTTTATGTGCTGTCAACCACAGACGCAAGTCAAAGGCATTTCTTCTGCAGCAAAGCAAGGAATGCAAAGTAACCGTACGAGCAACTAAGAAAGGCAGAAATGCCAACTAGCAAATGGCAAGTGAAGCCAACACGGAACCAAACATGGAACCCCACCAGAACAGACAGCAACAAATTTCCGTTGAAAAATGCAATAAGGAAGCATAGCAGCCACGACGTTTTGTCCTTCTTGCCTTCGCACATGTTTGTGTTGCTAAGAGGGCAAGGCATGCCAACCCATGAAATATTGCAGTGTCACCGAGGCGCATGCAGTGGAGCCAATTTCAGTGCGAAAAGTTTACATTATGTCAGCTTATGGCTCCTCGTTGTTCTTTTTGCGGGTGTCAGCGTCGTTTTAATGCATTTTTCATGTTGAAGTTGCTTTTTTTTCTATAAAATGGCTCGGAAATTGTGCTGAAGAAACTAACAGAAGTTGCTTAACATTTGTTTGGTATTGGCAACACTCCACGGTTTACTTTTATGGAAGCAAATATGCACAAGTCATAACCTATATAAGCTCTGTAAGTATATCTATGAGTTGGGATTTGCATGTGCAATTGACTCACAAATCCTGGTCAAACTGCG